ATTTCAACAAATAACAAACCTTTTTAAAAGAAAAAGTTATAACAAACCTTATTATTATTTGGACACTTTAATATTTTCAAACAATAATGATAATTTAATTAACAAAAATTTCTATTTAGTTAGTTTAACAAAAACATTGTTTCGACAAGTCATAATTAATACATTTTATTATTTTAATTAGTTAGTTCAAAGTTAAGCCATGTCATATTTTTTTACAAACCATATRATCTTTTTTGACAAGCCACATCATAGTTTTCAACTAATGAAATTAAAACAAATAAGCAAAATTGACAGGGAGAGGATTTATATATTGCTATCTAATAATCTAACTTGAAATCCTAATTTTCAGGATTTGGCCACATGACTGTTTCTGGTGACCTCCGGAAGAATGTCCGGGGATCAGGTTCTTTGCTGTTTCGGATTCGACCGTCGGAAGCCGCAAAGGACTGTCGGTGTTATTGCTTGGAGTGACTCTTGTTTACTCGATCCTTGTCTTTGAATGGGTTTTGAATAAATATATTAATTTATTAAAAAAAGAATTCATATACGAATGCAATCTTGAAAGAATGTACCGTAAGAGAGAGAAGAAGACGACGTAATGATTCGTTAAAAGCGTATTTGAAGTGTATACATGACTTGTTTTTCTCTGTGGCCGACAATGAATAAAACTCTTCCTTTACGTAAACAAATTAAAGATTGGGTTATTGGCCTGATTGTCCATAAGATAACTTGGTCAAAGGATGGTGAACATTTCTCTCTGTGTTTTCTTGCGGGCCCCCACAATTTAGACGACTAATCTCATGTTTAGTGGATTAACAGAGAAAAGTATTACTTCTTTTAGCGTTGGAATATTCTTCTTTGAAATAGTTGATCAAATTGACAGGATACTAACCAAAAAGAAGCCTGCGTTGACTTTGATTTTCAAGAAATTGCATTCTTTTACAGAGAAATTATTGACTGGCTTTTATCACATAATCAAAAGACCTTGAAAAAAGAAAATAGAGGAAAAGAGAAGAATTGGAAACATGTTTGGTTATGCATCTTTTAGCTCTCTATTCATTCTCTTTTTCTTTGCAAACCTCAAGTCTTATTATGCACAGCAACAAACCCCTAATTACCTCTTCCATGTTTGTCCTAACACAACAACTTACTCCAAAAACAGCATATACTACTCCAATCTCAAAAGCCTTTTGTCTTCTCTTTCTTCCACCGATCGTGTTTTCTCCATCGGATTCTATAGCACAGTCGCAGGTCAGAGCCCTGACGCGGTATACGGGCTTTTCAAATGCAGAGGAGATATGTCGCCGGAAGTCTGTCATAATTGCGTTGACTTTATTGCCAAGGACATTCGGAGTCGATGTCCAGAGAGGAAACAAGGCATAATATGGTATGACCAATGCATGCTTCGATATGCTGACCAGAACTTTTTCTTGGACTCTTCACTCCAAAATGGAACAACTGGACTTGTCTTGGCTAACACCAGTAAAATTTCGGTTAGCCAACAAGACCGGTTCAGTGATTTGGTCTTATCCACGCTGAACAAGGCAGCCACCGAGGCACAGAACAGTTCGAGAAAGTTGAATGCTAGAAAAGCCAATTTTACTGCGTTCCAGACTTTGTACGTAATGGTTCAGTGCACTCCTGATCTACAGGGACAAGACTGTTTGCGTTGTCTTCAACATATCATCACTCAGTTACCTACTAATAGGACTGGGGCAAGCCTTATGGTGCCGAGCTGTAGTTTAAGATACGAGCTTTACCCGTTCTACAACTCAACCGCCCTTAGATCAACTCAACCGCTGTCACCGCCGATTTCATTTCCTTCACCACGACATGGTATGACCATTTGCTTTCCGTTGATTACTTGTTTCACCATAACTATTCTTTTGAGACATTCTATATATACTTAAAGAGCGGTTCATATGTAATTTAAGGCCGGTTCTTGTGAATACAGGAAAAGGCGGAAAGTCGACTGTCATAATCGTGGCTGTTGTTGTTCCAGTCACTGCAATTTCTCTTCTACTCGTAGCTGTTTTTATTTTCCGGGCTAAGAGAAAACGGACGGTTTATGAGATGGAACCACTAGCTGAAGGTGGAAAACTCCCCTTTTTGTACATCAAATGAATAGTCTTCTAATCTTGTTGAAATTGGTTATACAGGCAAGGATGATATTACAACTGCAGGCTCACTTCA